TTTTTATTGATTTTGACGATTGGATCTCTCTATGAATGGAAAAGGGGTGCTTCGGATCGGGAGTAACCAAGGGCAAAAATTGGGGGGAAGGACAAAGGAAAGAGCGATGCCTACATTCAATCAATTGATTCGTCATGGTAGAGAAGAAAAACGGCGCACGGACCGTACTCGAGCTTTGGATCAATGTCCCCAGAAGCAAGGAGTATGCCCGCGTGTTTCAACGAGAACACCGAAAAAACCTAATTCAGCTCCACGTAAGATAGCCAAAGTACGGTTGAGCAATCGACATGATATATTTGCTCACATTCCAGGTGAAGGTCATAATTTGCAGGAACATTCTATGGTATTAATAAGAGGAGGTAGAGTGAAAGATTCGCCAGGTGTGAAATCCCATTGTATTCGAGGAGTCAAGGATTTGCTGGGAATTCCGGATCGAAGAAGAGGCAGATCAAAATATGGTGCGGAAAAACCCAAATCGAGATGAATGGAAGATGCCTATGGAACTCGTTTTTCTTGGTAAGGATAGGTTTATCCTTTGCCTCAAGGATGGATTCTGATCTTCAACCAACTATCTTTTTGAAGCAGATAGTTCACAGTGCTTCTTTTTAGACGGCTTTATTCCACAGAGAATTTTCTTATGATTAAGGTCACACGTATACTTCCCGTTCTTACCTTCATAGGTACAGAATTCTTATTCGAACATTTTATAGGATCAGAAGGATTCATTTCAGGTCTTCGTTTGATTCTTTTTACTTTTATTCTATTAGGATTCATCTTTCTTTTCAATTCTTACAGAACTTTATTCAATAAAAAACTGCGACTGGTTATAACCCTTTTCTTTGTTATTCTTATTTATTTGTTAGGAAAAATGATCCGGATCTACGTTTTCTCTCACGTAGGTCTGGATTTGACCAACTTCTTTCCACTCATTTTAAGTGTGGATGGAGGCGCCTATTCGTCTCAACCGAACCCTATTTTTGATGCTATAAAGCAATTCCTTCGATCAAACGAGGCTCAGGCTGAGGAAAGGGCTTCCTCACCTCTACCCCCTATTCCCAACCCGGCGGAGCTTCAAGAGATCGATCAAGATCTCATTTGGGAGAACCTCGATGCCCAGCTAGGGCACGAGAGCACGCCCGCATATATAGCACTGTGGAGACTATCGTGGAGGCTTGCGAAAACGAAGAAGCGGCCATGAGAGACAAAGCCCACAATATCTTGCATCAGAAAGGGATCAATCCAAAGGATGTTAAGCGTGCACTCGACGCGGCTCTCTATGAAGCACGACATCGATACGCCGTAGACTAAATTGCAACTTCGGGAAGGCTCGCTGTTCCATTTGGAACAAGTTCATTGACGAACTGAGAGAATTGGGGAATCCCCAAGTCAACGCGCGACATAAGGTCGACTAGGCTGTGCCAGCAGCCGCGGTAAGACGGGGGGTTAGGCGGCAGGACGGACTTTGGGGGGGACTGGCGGAGACCCCAGCTTAGAGTAACTGCCCGAGAAGGTCAGTGAGGTGCCAACTGTAGTGAATCTTTCTTCAAGTTAACTATGGTTGGAAGAAGACAGGCGGGAGCAAAGCAAGTTCCAGTGGTGGGCTGTCGGTCTGGTCCCATTTTAGACATAGTCAGATTAGAAGGTGCGAAATTATTCATTAGCAAAATCAAAATAATTGTTTCGTGTAAGCTTTGCTCTTATTGCATTAATGGTAGGGATTTGTTTTCTAAGAACTATTATTAGTATATTGGGGTTTTGGTGTTACTTTTTTTGAATCACCCCTATGGGAATGGATCTCCCTTTTGGAGGAGGACCTTCGATCACCCAACCAACTCCGGAGCCGACGCCCGAACCCGAAGACACCCGGGAGTACAAAGCTATGGAGAAACATCATTCTTTAATTGCTTGAATTGAAGAAAAAGTAAGAGCTGTTCGGCTTAGGGCCGAGCAAATAGCTCGCGCATACGGAATGAGCTCTTCAGACTATATCTGCGAAGACGTATGGGAGAAATAAAACCCGCTACGCCTTCTTAAGAAATCTATTTAATAGTTTGGAAAATCCAGAAAGAAGCAACACTTGGAAAAAGATTATAAAGGAATCCGATAGATGGTGGCGGTGGGATTAGATGTGTTGAGTTCCGTAGTTGCCCCTTCGGGCTATCTTCATTTGAATTTTTCACATAATTGACATGTCCAATCTTCTTACTAGAGGAATATCCAAGTAACACTTGGGTTACGTTCAGTATAATTCAGTATAATATGACCCATTTGCAAGTTCTTTTTCCCAAGTAATGCGATTGTAGACAAGTCTTTCTTCCTTTTTTTGCAAGAAGCGGAACCTTTTTAAGAAATAATAGAAATTTCTATGGTCCAACTACATAACTTTTTCTTTTTCATTACTTTCATGGTCGTGCCTCGTGGCACGGCTGCACCCGTACTATTTAAATGGTTCGTCAGTAGAGATGTTCCCACAGGTGCCCCTTTTTCCAACGGTACTATAATTCCTATTCCTATCCCTTCATTCCCTCTTTTGGTCTATCTACATTTCAGGAAATTCATACGCTCCGTGGACGGAGCAAAAAGGGGAGTCTTGGTCAGAGCAAACCGCCCTATTCTATTACTAGAAGAAATTGGGAGAAGCTCATCCAAAACTAGAGCTAGAAACGCTTTATTTCGTTTCGTTCTCGTTATTCATTTCCTTCTTCTCAAATACAAGGGGGACTTCTCATATTTAGAATCTTTCTGCGGTGTGCTCCGTTTACTATTCTTTCGTACTTTCTTCTTTTTACCAAAAAGTAGGTCAGCGAAGCGTGAGCGGAGAAGGAAAGGCCAAACACTTCGGCCTAAATGGAAAAAATGCATCGATCTGTTTCCTTGTTTCTATATGTGTAGCCCTTAAATTTACTTTTGCGATAGTTCCAACGCTTTCTCTCCCCCACCTACACCTACAGCGCAATTGCCGGAAGAACCACTGACTCCACCTGAAGCGGCGCCGGTACCTCAACCGGTTGTTATTCCCCAACCTATTCTCCCCGATGATCTATTCCAAAGGCGACCAGCTTTCAATACTAGTTGTTACGGGCGAATGAGTGTAACGATTCGTTGTTCGTTGAACATAGTGAAACGAATTCTCTAGTGACTTCGTACCTCGAAGAGGGGAGAGGATAGTAGCAGCTCGACTAAAAGGAGAGGAAGGAAGAAGGGGTTGACGCCGACAGGGGAGATGAAAAAGAATTCCTGTCTTTAGAAGTAAATCCCACTAAACTACACTTGTACGCTTGACATGAAAACGGAGTCAAAGGCCGAGCCTCCACTAGCAAAGGGGGACAGCCATGCCAATCCAAGCAGAGCAAAAGTGCGCCCACTCTACCTTTATTTCTACTAGTTCTTACATAAGCAATTTGCAGGAAGTAAACGAATCCTTCCGAACAACTATAAATAGCTTTAGCATCTTTTTTTTTAGTTGAAAAGGTCTTTATAGAGCTAAGGGGAAGGTTTGGAACCCTAGTAGCAGAATGGAATCAGTTTACCGGGCTGACTTCCATGCCAACACGAGTAGTTTAACTCATCACTACCTCGTAAGGGCGTTGAGGATTGTTTTTGCTTTTATTGCTATAAACACGCTTTTGAAAAAGTATTCAAATAGCCTTTGCATAGTTTACGAATTCGGACCTAAACACAGGAATGGTTTTTCTCAGAGTCAGACCAACGAAAGGGGGAGAAGGGACGGATCACCTGTCGATCTGTGATCAAAGAAAACTATACCTGAAGAATGGGATAGAGATTGACAAGCACAAAAGCTATATCTCATATCTAAACATTAATCTACGCTCATTGATGAGACGGCGACATAGAGAGAAGAAAGTATACCCTTTGTCACCCCCCTTCTCACAACAAAGTAAAGACTTTGGAATGGGATTGGGGATGGACGAATGCACTTGCGGTTAAGACAGGTCCTGCATCTCCTACCTAATGCAATTGACCGACCCGCCATCTCTTTCCTTCAATAATGCCTTCGCTTCACTTCAAGACGTTATTTACCAATAAGAATAGGATTTTTTAATGGAAGAAGCCGAAGGGGTTTTCGAGCGCTGCGGTAATGAGCCGTAAGAAAGATGAGCAGAGCATTCCTTCCGCCGGCCTTGGTGAGATAGATAGACGTCCAATCCTGCAGCAGCTAGTTGCTCGGCCTTAGTCTTGGGCTGATCTCACACTTCAATCAACCCCTTCGTACTTCGATCCAATCAATCGATCGATCAAGAGGCTAATCCCTTTTTTTTGGTAGCTAAAAGAAAGTCCTCGCTTTCTCTTGAACAAGGGGCATAGCATTAGCTTCAATTTCACAAGCTCAACCTTGAAAAAGAAAGGTGGCGAAGAACCGTTGAACGCTTCAACTCAGCCACTGAAGAAGGCGAAGGCTGGGCGAGAGACTAGGCCAACTTACTGCTTACTGCCATGCCATAGTTGAAGCTTTAGGCTCCATAGACGGAATTATGTATTAGGTATTAGGGAGGAGAGGACACCACTCAGCACCTAAGGTGGGGTTCAATGCCTAACAAAAACGGCCAAAAGAAAAAGAAAGAGAGAAAAATAGATGTATGGCTGAGGGGAGAACGCATGCATGGAGATTCGAATTCGAGATGAAAGGACATCTAAGGAAGTCCATTACTGAGAAAAATCTTGCTTGCTGGGAGAGAGGAAGCTTCCGGACCAAGCCGAGCGATCACTCAGCAATGAACACTAACTGAAAGCGGCCGGGAATGAGTACCTCTCCCTTACGGTCGAGGTACGAAGTCACTAGAGAATTCGTTTCACTATGTGAAACTCATTCGACCTATGATCGTACCTCTCTCTTTTTTCTGTATAAAGTAAGTCCCAGTGTTGGGCAGAGCTGGCCCTTTCGCTGGAATGCTTGCTTGAATCTAGCTACTCCTTTTGCACTCTATACGGTATGGCTACAAACCGAAGAAGTCGGAAGTAGTTCATCGCCTGTGGGAGCTTGCTGATAGTGAGGAAGCCATAATCTATCTATCGGATTGCCTATTTGTCAAGAGAGACTCTCGTCCTACTGCTTCCTTTTCATTGCCTTAATGGCACACATATTCTAGTTGGCAGGGCTGGGGAATTAAATCAATGGTATGGAAGGACCTTGGTCGGATTCATTCGTGAAAGCTGTTCTGGGGTATTTCTATTACTATTGGATTAAGTGCTTCATACCCGAATTCCCCGATCATCAACTTGATATATTTTATTATTCTCGAAGGTAAGAATAGTGTATATAAGAGAGAGGTGGCCCATGGCTTTGAAGATTCTCTTTATCAGCTAAGGATCTTGGTAAAGCTATTCAAATAGATTCAGCCTCTGGCACTCAATCGCTAGCCTTTCACATTCTTCTGTCATAGTTTGTGCGTCGTCAAAAGTAACCTGAAGAGCATTGTTTCTGGTTTCCGACTTATTATTCAGATGAGCTTGCAGGGAGTTTACCCATCTCATCGGCCATAAATCCCTAGCCGCTGGTTGATTTCTGCCCNAGATCCTTAGCTGATAAAGAGAATCTTCAAAGCCATGGGCCACCTCTCTCTTATATACACTATTCTTACCTTCGAGAATAATAAAATATATCAAGTTGATGATCGGGGAATTCGGGTATGAAGCACTTAATCCAATAGTAATAGAAATACCCCAGAACAGCTTTCACGAATGAATCCGACCAAGGTCCTTCCATACCATTGATTTAATTCCCCAGCCCTGCCAACTAGAATATGTGTGCCATTAAGGCAATGAAAAGGAAGCAGTAGGACGAGAGTCTCTCTTGACAAATAGGCAATCCGATAGATAGATTATGGCTTCCTCACTATCAGCAAGCTCCCACAGGCGATGAACTACTTCCGACTTCTTCGGTTTGTAGCCATACCGTATAGAGTGCAAAAGGAGTAGCTAGATTCAAGCAAGCATTCCAGCGAAAGGGCCAGCTCTGCCCAACACTGGGACTTACTTTATACAGAAAAAAGAGAGAGGTACGATCATAGGTCGAATGAGTTTCACATAGTGAAACGAATTCTCTAGTGACTTCGTACCTCGACCGTAAGGGAGAGGTACTCATTCCCGGCCGCTTTCAGTTAGTGTTCATTGCTGAGTGATCGCTCGGCTTGGTCCGGAAGCTTCCTCTCTCCCAGCAAGCAAGATTTTTCTCAGTAATGGACTTCCTTAGATGTCCTTTCATCTCGAATTCGAATCTCCATGCATGCGTTCTCCCCTCAGCCATACATCTATTTTTCTCTCTTTCTTTTTCTTTTGGCCGTTTTTGTTAGGCATTGAACCCCACCTTAGGTGCTGAGTGGTGTCCTCTCCTCCCTAATACCTAATACATAATTCCGTCTATGGAGCCTAAAGCTTCAACTATGGCATGGCAGTAAGCAGTAAGTTGGCCTAGTCTCTCGCCCAGCCTTCGCCTTCTTCAGTGGCTGAGTTGAAGCGTTCAACGGTTCTTCGCCACCTTTCTTTTTCAAGGTTGAGCTTGTGAAATTGAAGCTAATGCTATGCCCCTTGTTCAAGAGAAAGCGAGGACTTTCTTTTAGCTACCAAAAAAAAGGGATTAGCCTCTTGATCGATCGATTGATTGGATCGAAGTACGAAGGGGTTGATTGAAGTGTGAGATCAGCCCAAGACTAAGGCCGAGCAACTAGCTGCTGCAGGATTGGACGTCTATCTATCTCACCAAGGCCGGCGGAAGGAATGCTCTGCTCATCTTTCTTACGGCTCATTACCGCAGCGCTCGAAAACCCCTTCGGCTTCTTCCATTAAAAAATCCTATTCTTATTGGTAAATAACGTCTTGAAGTGAAGCGAAGGCATTATTGAAGGAAAGAGATGGCGGGTCGGTCAATTGCATTAGGTAGGAGATGCAGGACCTGTCTTAACCGCAAGTGCATTCGTCCATCCCCAATCCCATTCCAAAGTCTTTACTTTGTTGTGAGAAGGGGGGTGACAAAGGGTATACTTTCTTCTCTCTATGTCGCCGTCTCATCAATGAGCGTAGATTAATGTTTAGATATGAGATATAGCTTTTGTGCTTGTCAATCTCTATCCCATTCTTCAGGTATAGTTTTCTTTGATCACAGATCGACAGGTGATCCGTCCCTTCTCCCCCTTTCGTTGGTCTGACTCTGAGAAAAACCATTCCTGTGTTTAGGTCCGAATTCGTAAACTATGCAAAGGCTATTTGAATACTTTTTCAAAAGCGTGTTTATAGCAATAAAAGCAAAAACAATCCTCAACGCCCTTACGAGGTAGTGATGAGTTAAACTACTCGTGTTGGCATGGAAGTCAGCCCGGTAAACTGATTCCATTCTGCTACTAGGGTTCCAAACCTTCCCCTTAGCTCTATAAAGACCTTTTCAACTAAAAAAAAAGATGCTAAAGCTATTTATAGTTGTTCGGAAGGATTCGTTTACTTCCTGCAAATTGCTTATGTAAGAACTAGTAGAAATAAAGGTAGAGTGGGCGCACTTTTGCTCTGCTTGGATTGGCATGGCTGTCCCCCTTTGCTAGTGGAGGCTCGGCCTTTGACTCCGTTTTCATGTCAAGCGTACAAGTGTAGTTTAGTGGGATTTACTTCTAAAGACAGGAATTCTTTTTCATCTCCCCTGTCGGCGTCAACCCCTTCTTCCTTCCTCTCCTTTTAGTCGAGCTGCTACTATCCTCTCCCCTCTTCGAGGTACGAAGTCACTAGAGAATTCGTTTCACTATGTTCAACGAACAACGAATCGTTACACTCATTCGCCCGTAACAACTAGTATTGAAAGCTGGTCGCCTTTGGAATAGATCATCGGGGAGAATAGGTTGGGGAATAACAACCGGTTGAGGTACCGGCGCCGCTTCAGGTGGAGTCAGTGGTTCTTCCGGCAATTGCGCTGTAGGTGTAGGTGGGGGAGAGAAAGCGTTGGAACTATCGCAAAAGTAAATTTAAGGGCTACACATATAGAAACAAGGAAACAGATCGATGCATTTTTTCCATTTAGGCCGAAGTGTTTGGCCTTTCCTTCTCCGCTCACGCTTCGCTGACCTACTTTTTGGTAAAAAGAAGAAAGTACGAAAGAATAGTAAACGGAGCACACCGCAGAAAGATTCTAAATATGAGAAGTCCCCCTTGTATTTGAGAAGAAGGAAATGAATAACGAGAACGAAACGAAATAAAGCGTTTCTAGCTCTAGTTTTGGATGAGCTTCTCCCAATTTCTTCTAGTAATAGAATAGGGCGGTTTGCTCTGACCAAGACTCCCCTTTTTGCTCCGTCCACGGAGCGTATGAATTTCCTGAAATGTAGATAGACCAAAAGAGGGAATGAAGGGATAGGAATAGGAATTATAGTACCGTTGGAAAAAGGGGCACCTGTGGGAACATCTCTACTGACGAACCATTTAAATAGTACGGGTGCAGCCGTGCCACGAGGCACGACCATGAAAGTAATGAAAAAGAAAAAGTTATGTAGTTGGACCATAGAAATTTCTATTATTTCTTAAAAAGGTTCCGCTTCTTGCAAAAAAAGGAAGAAAGACTTGTCTACAATCGCATTACTTGGGAAAAAGAACTTGCAAATGGGTCATATTATACTGAATTATACTGAACGTAACCCAAGTGTTACTTGGATATTCCTCTAGTAAGAAGATTGGACATGTCAATTATGTGAAAAATTCAAATGAAGATAGCCCGAAGGGGCAACTACGGAACTCAACACATCTAATCCCACCGCCACCATCTATCGGATTCCTTTATAATCTTTTTCCAAGTGTTGCTTCTTTCTGGATTTTCCAAACTATTAAATAGATTTCTTAAGAAGGCGTAGCGGGTTTTATTTCTCCCATACGTCTTCGCAGATATAGTCTGAAGAGCTCATTCCGTATGCGCGAGCTATTTGCTCGGCCCTAAGCCGAACAGCTCTTACTTTTTCTTCAATTCAAGCAATTAAAGAATGATGTTTCTCCATAGCTTTGTACTCCCGGGTGTCTTCGGGTTCGGGCGTCGGCTCCGGAGTTGGTTGGGTGATCGAAGGTCCTCCTCCAAAAGGGAGATCCATTCCCATAGGGGTGATTCAAAAAAAGTAACACCAAAACCCCAATATACTAATAATAGTTCTTAGAAAACAAATCCCTACCATTAATGCAATAAGAGCAAAGCTTACACGAAACAATTATTTTGATTTTGCTAATGAATAATTTCGCACCTTCTAATCTGACTATGTCTAAAATGGGACCAGACCGACAGCCCACCACTGGAACTTGCTTTGCTCCCGCCTGTCTTCTTCCAACCATAGTTAACTTGAAGAAAGATTCACTACAGTTGGCACCTCACTGACCTTCTCGGGCAGTTACTCTAAGCTGGGGTCTCCGCCAGTCCCCCCCAAAGTCCGTCCTGCCGCCTAACCCCCCGTCTTACCGCGGCTGCTGGCACAGCCTAGTCGACCTTATGTCGCGCGTTGACTTGGGGATTCCCCAATTCTCTCAGTTCGTCAATGAACTTGTTCCAAATGGAACAGCGAGCCTTCCCGAAGTTGCAATTTAGTCTACGGCGTATCGATGTCGTGCTTCATAGAGAGCCGCGTCGAGTGCACGCTTAACATCCTTTGGATTGATCCCTTTCTGATGCAAGATATTGTGGGCTTTGTCTCTCATGGCCGCTTCTTCGTTTTCGCAAGCCTCCACGATAGTCTCCACAGTGCTATATATGCGGGCGTGCTCTCGTGCCCTAGCTGGGCATCGAGGTTCTCCCAAATGAGATCTTGATCGATCTCTTGAAGCTCCGCCGGGTTGGGAATAGGGGGTAGAGGTGAGGAAGCCCTTTCCTCAGCCTGAGCCTCGTTTGATCGAAGGAATTGCTTTATAGCATCAAAAATAGGGTTCGGTTGAGACGAATAGGCGCCTCCATCCACACTTAAAATGAGTGGAAAGAAGTTGGTCAAATCCAGACCTACGTGAGAGAAAACGTAGATCCGGATCATTTTTCCTAACAAATAAATAAGAATAACAAAGAAAAGGGTTATAACCAGTCGCAGTTTTTTATTGAATAAAGTTCTGTAAGAATTGAAAAGAAAGATGAATCCTAATAGAATAAAAGTAAAAAGAATCAAACGAAGACCTGAAATGAATCCTTCTGATCCTATAAAATGTTCGAATAAGAATTCTGTACCTATGAAGGTAAGAACGGGAAGTATACGTGTGACCTTAATCATAAGAAAATTCTCTGTGGAATAAAGCCGTCTAAAAAGAAGCACTGTGAACTATCTGCTTCAAAAAGATAGTTGGTTGAAGATCAGAATCCATCCTTGAGGCAAAGGATAAACCTATCCTTACCAAGAAAAACGAGTTCCATAGGCATCTTCCATTCATCTCGATTTGGGTTTTTCCGCACCATATTTTGATCTGCCTCTTCTTCGATCCGGAATTCCCAGCAAATCCTTGACTCCTCGAATACAATGGGATTTCACACCTGGCGAATCTTTCACTCTACCTCCTCTTATTAATACCATAGAATGTTCCTGCAAATTATGACCTTCACCTGGAATGTGAGCAAATATATCATGTCGATTGCTCAACCGTACTTTGGCTATCTTACGTGGAGCTGAATTAGGTTTTTTCGGTGTTCTCGTTGAAACACGCGGGCATACTCCTTGCTTCTGGGGACATTGATCCAAAGCTCGAGTACGGTCCGTGCGCCGTTTTTCTTCTCTACCATGACGAATCAATTGATTGAATGTAGGCATCGCTCTTTCCTTTGTCCTTCCCCCCAATTTTTGCCCTTGGTTACTCCCGATCCGAAGCACCCCTTTTCCATTCATAGAGAGATCCAATCGTCAAAATCAATAAAAAGGCCATCATGGACCAAGATCCAAACGGATCAATCTTGTTGAGAGATACTGCCCAAGGAAAGGAAAAGGTTACTTCCGGATCAGGAATAATAAATAAAATGGAAACAAGATAAAATCTTATATCAAAACGACTTCTGGCATCACCGGAAGGATCGAAACCACATTCGTAGGCCGACAATTTTTCTGGATAGGTCGAACTATTGGAAGCAAATGGAAAAGGAAGACCGAGTAGGATCAAAGAAACTAGCGAACTTATAACTAAATAGATACAAATAGGTGCAAATTCTGACATCACCACAGCCCACTTGGTTCTCTCGCTCCTTGCTCGCGGAGCGGCATACCGAAATAAAATAAGGATTCAATCCAGCCACAGGTTCCCCTATGGCTACCTTGTAAAAGCAAAGAAAGCCCCTGGTCTGGGTGGAAGTAGACTGTCTCCGGTAGGTAGTTCTTCTTCCGTTGCTACAAGCGTGAGATCACCAAGGAACGAAGTCCCTCGACCTACGGGAGAGGGACTCCCCTCTTCGAGCGACTTCGTACCTCTTCGAATGAGTGTAACATAGTGAAACGAATTCTCTAGCGACTACGTACGTTGGTCGTACCTCTTTCAAATGAGTTGAACATAGTTCAACGTTTGAAACGAAATGAGTTTCACATAGTGAAACGAATCTCTGTTCTCTGTTCTCTGTTCTTCAGAGTGACTTCGTACCTCGAAGAGGTACGAGGGTCCAAAAGAATGATTTCCCGAAGCCTACATGGAGCAAATTGACTCACTTTATGTCAAGAGTTCGCTTCGCTATTACGGCCCAGTCACGAGCTCAACCTCATGAACGCCCTGACTCGGATACAGCTCCAGCGGTAACAGAAAATCCGTTAGAATAATTCGCGCGCGATAAGAGCAAGCGGAGGTTTTGACTTAGACAACCATGGGCTGGCATAAAGAGATCAAATCAACCCAGTCGTCTTTCTATAGGTTGGTGTGGACTTGAGCATTACGATTTTCATTCGAAACTAGAGAAGGCAGGAACTTCTTGTACAAGATCAGGTTATGGCTGACCATTGAGACAGATTGCATTCAGTTTGTGAGGAAATGTAATCAGTGTAAGATTCACGCAGAAAAGATACCGTATCTCAGTGAATGAGTTGAACGATTCGTTTCAAACGTTGAACTATGTGAAACAACGAACAACGAATAGTGAAACTCATTTCGTACCTATTTCTTCTAGTCTAAGAGTATAAATAGTCTAAAGAACTATAAGCTTGTAACGAGTAAGACAACTCTGGGATCCTCTTTCACGATCTCCGGCCTTTCGGGCACTTAAGTAACGGCGGAGGTTACGGAGACGATGGTCGATGCCTACTTCGCAATGTAAACTGCACGCCTGACGTCTTGTGGATCCCCTTTTGCGCCAATAGAGTCCGTAATTCGCCCGATCTCTCTCCTGTATTGGATCTACCGAAGGAAAAGTATCCCATTCTGGATCCCGGTTGATTCCCCCGATCCAAGGATCATTCAGGTACCGAATCGTATCTCTTGGAGAGAACCAACGCGGTTCTCTCGTCGTGAAAGAAGTAAAAGTATAGCTTTATAGAGCAACGCATTCTAATTCTAGGCACAGATCATTGGTATTGGATGTATCGTTAGGTTGTGCCGAGTCAAATCTGCTCCGTTTTTTTTCCGTTGCAGAAAAGAGATCCCTTCCCCACGCTGGCTGCAGGTACTATGGATCCTCTGACTCCCAATCGGGTTGCCTTCCCAGGTCTCGCCGGTGTTGCCTGTAGGTCGTGATGTGCCTCGAGATGGCCGTCTCCTGTCCCCCTGCCGGTGGGGAATCCGCTCCCGGGTCGTCGCTCTGTCCTCTAGGCACCTTTGGAAGGCAGGGAGTGTTACAACGTACACGCTTCCATAGGGCCTTCTCATCAGTTGCAGGGTTTGGTGGCCCGAAATTGACTTGGCTTCGCCAAAAGGCCTCATCTCTAAAAGCCCGGCTCGCGAGGCGTCCCTCTTCGAGCGACTCCCTTTGGTCGTACCTCTTCGAGCGACTCCCTTTGGTCG